ATTAAATTCAAACACACAATGTTATGTTCTTACATACGCAGCACTGAGCGGGAATCCAGGTAGCTGGAATACAGAGGGAAGAGAGATTTAGAAACACAAAAATTTAACAAAATACAATGAAGGGCAAATCTACACTACAAAATTAAGTCGACTTAAGTTACGTCAGCGTACAGCCACTGCAGTAATTAAATCGGTTTTGTGTGTCCATGCTGTGTTCCTGTCGGTGGTGCGCATCCTTGCACCAATTGAACTGTCAGTGTGGGGCGTTGATAGCTTCTCTTAGAGTAGGTGGGAATTTGCTCATTCTTGGCCTCATTAAACATATTCGGTAATCTAGTATTAAAGTTTCAGAGAACTATTTTTAAAATTCAGTGGGGAATCCATCTGCGCCAGGCGTCTTGCCAACCTTCATATCTTTTATAGTCTGAGTCAGTTCTGCGATTTCTAAAGGGGCACCTAAAAGTTCCTTCTGAGAGTCAGAGATCTGTGGTAGAGACAATCCACTAAAAAAGTTATCTAGGCCATCTTTACTGATTCCCTCTTCAGCTAAATATAGTTTTTGAATAAAGCTGTTGCAATTGTTTATTAATATCAGACTGTGTTGTATATAATTTATTGCTTCTATCACATACAGTAGCAGACTTAGTTCTGTTAGCCTTTTGCTTAAGTCTCTATGCCAACAGCTTGCCAGCTTTCTCACCAGATTCCCAGTCATTTTGCTTTATTCTGTTTGAAGCACACTCAGCCTTCTGGGACAGAAGTTTGTTGATTTCATATCTGAGATTGATGAGGGTTCTGAGTTTCTCTGGGGTAGGGAGAGAAACATAGTCTACCTCCAAGGTCTTAAGTTCCTTCGCAAGGGTATCAATTCTAGGTTCTCTCTATTTCTGGCATAAGAGATGATACGGCCTCTGATGAAGGATTTAAAGGATTCCCAAAGTGTGGCAGCTGATGAAGCGGTGGGGGCATTTGTTCTTTAACAAAGTTCTAACTCCTGCTGGGTAGAGTTAATAGTGATGTATCAAACAGTAGCGAGGTATTTAATCTCCACCTTTTAGTTGGGGGTGCATACTGCGGGCCTAAAAGATATATGTGTAGGTGCATGGTCAGAGATAACAATAATATCAATACTATAATCAGTGACAGAACTGATCGAGTATTGTGACACTAAGAAATAGTCCAATCCAGAGGTGCTGGAACCAGGGGTTCTGGAGGTGCTTCCTCAGCCCCTGGCTTGAAGTGGATTCCATTATATACTGGGTTTATAGTTTGGTTCAATAGCTCTCAGCACCCCCACTCTACAAATTGTTCCCGCACCCCTGGTCGAATCTTAAATATATTGAATGAGTTGCAGAAAAAAAGTCTATAGTCTCTGGGCATAGGATTACCCAGTCTTCATGCATCTTGTAAATCTAGATCAGCTGGGTTTGTATGGAGGCGAAGATTTATCAAGGACGGGGTCTACAGCTTTGTTAAAGTCTCCAGCCATAGGGTGGTGTCCCATGTCATTTACACTTATTAAAAATTCGGGATCATCCTGATTTGGCCTGTAGAGATTGGCAAAGATGATTATAGAATTGCAAGTTTCAGCCTTGAAGACAATAAATCTGTCTTGTCATCCTTTGTGCTCAGAATATTCACATTGAACTTTTTATGTATTAGTATCGTACCATCCCTCACTCTAGAATTAAAGCAGCTAGAAACTGAGAGGCCTACCCAAGCTCTATTCAGTTTACAAGCTTCAAGGTCTGTCAGATGTGTCTGCTGGAGCATTACAATGTCAACTGTTTTTTTTGGTTTGTTTTTCTGTTTTTTTTAAATCTTTTTTTCTTTTAATAAGGTTATTAAGACTCTTTCAATTCCAGGAGACACATTTAATTATCAGAGCCATCATTGTTAAAATACACTGGATAAACTATAAAGTTGCTTTGTGAATAAATGAGAAATAGCAAATTTTCCTGAGCAGCATACAGTTCTTGCATATCTAAGCAGCAAAAGTTATATAAGCCGGGGGTAGTGTGTTGCTTCCCAGTGTGTATTCTACAGGAGTGAGAAAGAAATTCTCATCACGGGAAGGTAAGAGGAGGGGGGCAGAAGGAGGAATTAAATAAGTGATAAAACAAAATGCAAAAGATAGTGGAGAGAGAAATACACATTAGTACCATACAATTAAAAAGAGGAATCTGTTTCAACTGTCAAAAAAATACACAATTGACACCCAGAGAGGGCAGCCGGATCAGGTGAAACTGGGAGATCCTCAGCCCCTGAGAGCCCAAACATTACAACTACAGTAATCAACTATTCCTAACAGAACCTTGATACATTAGTCCATAATAGGGTTGCCAATGCTCCCAGTTTTGCCAAGAGTTTCCTGGAATCAGACCCTGTCTCCCGGAGGCTACTGAAGCCCAAGTGGGAGATTTTAGGTCGCTGAAAGTCCGGCGGTGCAGCAGGGCAAAGGCAGGCTCCCTGCCTGACCTGGCTCCACGCCGCTCCTGGAAGCGGCCAGAACGTCCCTGTGGCCCCTAAGAGGGGCATGGGGGTCTCTGCATGCGGCCCCTGCCCAGAGCACCAACTCTGCAGCTCCCATTGGCCAGGAACTGCAGCCAATGGGAGCTCTGGGGGTGGTGCCTGTGGGTGCAGGCAGCGTGCGGAGCCCTCTGGCCTCCCATGGAGCTGCAGGGACATGCCGGCCGCTTCCGGGAGTGGCACAGGGCCATGGTAGGCAGGGAGCCTGCTTTAGCCCTGCTGTGCTGCTGCTCGGGAGCCACCTTGTTACCCGGGGTTCTTTCAACCCAAAGCTCTCAGTAACGTTTACTCTGTGAGAGGTGGTGTCAGGAAATAAATCAGGGGAGACATGGTCGTCGGACCAGAGATGGCTGGCACAAACAGGACAACACACGAGTGCTTTCATTTAAAGCTAAACTTTACTTAGTCTCAAGCACTTATACACACGTCCACAACAGGTTAGTAAAACACCCCCAACCCTTGAAAATTACCAAAGCTGAGTGTGGCTCTCGAGTGGCACAGCGGCAGCCCGTCTGCTGGTGGGGAACACAAGCTGCATCCAGGGGGAGAGTCCAGTCCTGCAGAGTCCCCCCAACCTCAAACTTTCCCCCCTTATTTACACATTACATTTAATAATAGAATGACATGTCCCTTAAAGAAAACTTGTTAAGCAAGCAATTCCAATGGTCAAGCAAGAGGCTTTCTTCTGATTAGTGTTTTTCCAGAGTTTGCAGCCTTGAGGCCCCCCTGGGGCACATCCTGCTCTTCTAAAATGCGTGTATCAGTCACTTCAACACAATTCTTATCAGGAAGGACGTGGGGTCAAGCTGCCCTTTCTGTGGCACTCAAAACCCCCTCCCCCCCTTCCTTGGTCAAGCTGAGTTTGCTGCATGGCACTTTACGGCCTGCTGACTTGGCTGCTTTTAGCAATAAGCCATAGTGGTTTCAGGCACTTTATTGGTTTGCTGACATCTCCATGTACAGTCTGAGGTAAGTGCCTCCGGGCCGGAGCCCAAACACCTTCCGCAGCCCAACCCACTGCCCCAGCCCTGAGCCCCCTCACACACCCAAACTCCCTCCCAAAGATTGCACCCCCTCCCACACCCCAAAGCTGCACCCCAGCCCTGAACCCCCTCCTGCACCCAAACTCCCTCCCAGAGCCCACACCCCTCACACCCTCCTGCATTGCAACCCCCTACCCCAGCCCAGAGCCCCCTTCTGCACCCAAACTTCCTCCCAGAGCTTTCACCCCACAACCCCTCCTGCACCCCGACACCCTGCCCCAGGCTCAGCCCAGAGCCCCCTCCCACACCCTGAACCCCTTAACCCCAGCCCAGAGCCTGCACCCCAACCCCCTGCCCCAGCCTGGTGAAAGTGAGTGAGGGTTGGGGAGAGCAAGCGATGGAGGGAGGGGGGATGGAGGGAGCAGGGCGGGGCCTTGGAGAAGGGGCTGGTGGGGGCAGGGCAACAGGGTTTGAGTTTGTGTGATTAGACAGTTTGCAACCCTAATCCATAAGGAAGCATCATCTAATAAAGCAATGAGATAAATATTACTAATTGAAAGAGTTGACATTGATGCTCCTTTACCATGAATTAAGACAATCTAATTTATTAAGAAATAAATTGATAATAACCTTTTAACCTTTCAATCCCAATGAGAAAGAGAGAGAGAGAGGGAAACAAACAAAAACAAAAGGAACTAGCGTCATTATCAGCTAGCACCCATCAACTTGTTTAGAGCAGCCATGTCAGATCTTTGAGAGCAGTACATAAAAGCCATACGGTCCGATCATTCCATAGGTGTCTCCTCTTGCAAGGAAGGAGTTTGCAGATTTTTGAAGTATTTTTCTGCCTTCGGCAGGGAGCCGAATTATTATATCTTATCACTATTCTTTATATGAAGCCTTGCTGGGTGTTTAATAAAATACTCCAAGTCTGTCTTCCTGGCCAATTGCTTTGCTTGGTTGCAACCTCAATGCAACCACATCACAGGCATAATCTTAAAAGCAGTATTTTAATTGCTGAGTCTCCCCATAACTGCTCCTTCTTTCTTTCTGGACTTCTGCAGCATAAGCTCCTTAGGTGGTAAACTTCAGGAACTTCACAATCAAGGCTCTAGGCCCAACTCCTGCAGCTGGGTGTGGGGGCAAGGGCCTGGACTGCCCGTTCTATATCAAAACAAAAATCTACTGGCAGATCCAACAACTTAGCAGTTTAGGGACAAATTCAGAGGGTTTCCCTTTCTCTATTCCCTCAGAGATACCCACAATCCTGATGTTACATTGTCAAGGCTGCCACCTTTCTAATTGCTAGTAACTGGACTCCAAAGCCCCACCCCTACCCCACCTCTTCCCTCAAGGCCCCACCCCCGGGCCTGCTTCTTCTCCCTAAAGCCTTGTCCCTGTTCTAACGCTTCGCTTGAGGCCCCGCCCCTTCTCCACCTCTTTCCCCCAAGACCCCGTCCCCATCACTCGCTCCTCTCTCCTTCTCCCTCTGTCACTTGCTGCATTGTCTCAAAGAACTTGCCTGCAGGTAGGAGGCAGCCCCGCTGAACTGGTGCTGGCCCAGGTTAATGACCCAATGCCTCCTCCCACGCAGTGGTAACTGGACTTTTGGTTCGGGTATCATATAGGGTTGCCAGGTCCCCTTTTCAACCAGACTTTCTGGTCAAAAACCAGGCACTGGCAAGCCTAAATGGCACCGGGTCACAGAAGCCAAAAACCAGACTGTCTGCGTCCTGATCATCGTGAGTGGCTTTCTAGATCAATTAGGTTGGCCTTCATAGTCTTGATATCATTACAGTTCTTCATAACCTGTACTTCGCTTTCTTTGAAATCATCTTCCACCTCAGAAATGCTGTGTTCTGCTTCACCCAGCCGTCCGGGTAGAGCCTGTAGTGCGCTCTGAATCTCAATCATGGTGGTCTGTAGGCTGGGAACGGTAGATTTAATTTCAGCAGTATCTATGACCTGTAGTACAGCCGACAGCTGTGTTCCATCAGGCTCAAGCACCGGTTTGTTGTAGAGGTGGGGGAGGCAGATCTCCTCTGTTTTGTTGATGGTTTTGGATTTGGAGAGTAAGATGTGAGCTAGAGGGCAACATGGGGGTTTCAGTAATCAGCTGCAGTATTTCTTGGTGTTGGATGTTGGGGTTTAAGGGACAATGTTTAAGGTTTCCCCATGGGCCTCTCCAGAGCTCAAGCAATCTGCATCCACCGGGGTTGCAGTGCTCTGTGATGTCCATGTTGCCACAAAAAAGTTGTCAAAAAATTCCCGACCCTCTCTACTAGTTGGAATGGGAAGAGTTTCCTCTAGAATTGTTTGAAAACCATTTGTGTGGGGCTTAATTAAACCAGACCCCTGTGAGGAGCATGTCTGAGACTTTATTGGTTTTGTTGCTATCGAATCTGACCCCGGGAGCAATGGGGATTATCAGGGTTGGACAGGGGACATGACTCCTGCCTCCAGTCAGCAGCCTGTTGCTATGTTTTTTTAATTAATTCCTTTTCTTTTCTTTCTCCCCAGTAAACATGCTCCCCGCTGCTCTAACTGACAGGTACAAAGTCCTGACCTGCTGGAGTGCAACGTGTCTTTTCTATGGTGCTATTCTTAAGATCCAGAAAAGAAATAACTTTAGGTGAGAGTCTTAAAAGGCTGTGTTTATTGCATGAGACAAAAGAGCACAGAGCAGTGGCAGGCCGAGTGCGGTCGCTTGGCAGACTCCACCATCACAAGCAGGGGTCCCAGCTGGATGTGTTTCTCTCTAATTTATTAAGTAATTCTGCTTTCACAGAGAACCGTTGCTTTGAATTTAGCTGCACTAGAGACTAGGAAACAAAACAACTTGTTGTTTCCCTTTTAAGCCCATCTTAGGTTGTGTGGGGGCAGGGGAAAGACTTTCTTCAGTGGGGACAATGAGGCGGGGAAAGTGGATGAGGATTTGGAGCCGTGAAAATGCTTTACTCACCTGTAATGAGGTGCTTCAGTGGTCACAGCAGCTCCATCCTCTCAAAACCATCTTTCTGGTTGTGCACGGTGGCTGTGGACTTGAAAAATGCATCTCATGGGGGGTTTTTCCTTCCTTTCCTGTCTTTGGCTCCTTTTCTCTCTGTCTACTGTGGTGTCTTGTTGCCTGACAGATGGATCAGAGAAGAGGTTCTCTGTGATCTGTGGGTCACTAGCATTCCACTTGGGGTGGACTGTGAACAGCGGGCTCTTCCTCAGAGGCTTTGTCAGACGGGACAATCGTGATCATCTAGTCGGATCTCCTGCACATCACAGGCAACAGAGTTTCACCCTCCCACTCCTGTAGTACGTGCTAACCTCTGGCTGAGTTACTGAGGTCCTCAAATAATGGTTTAAAGGCTGCAAGTTACAGAGAATTCACATTTATACTAGTTAAACCTGCAAGTGACCCCTGCCCCATGCTGCAGAGAAGGTGAAAAACCTCCAAGGTTTCTGCCAATCTGACCCAGGGGGAAATTCCTTCCTGAGCCCAAACATGGTGATGAGTTAGACCAGGGCTGGCCCGAGGGAAAATGGAACCCTGAGCGAATTTGTATTTTGGTGCCTCTGGCCCCCATGAGGACGGCACTGTCCGCATTGACCCTGGCCCCTGTGGGTGCCTCCCCAGGCTCCCCACTCCACTTTGCTCCAACCGCTGCACTGTGCCCTCTGTGCCTCTAACCCCTGCCACCCAACCCCTGCACCCCTAACCTCTGTGCCGTGCTCCTGCACCCCTAACCCCTGCACCTCCCTCCTGCACCCATGTGGGGACACTGGCCTGGATGCATAGAGCAGCTGGCATTGCTGCTCACTCCACCCTTCGAACGCTGCTCCTCCCCCCTCAGGGGGATGTGAGAGGAGGAGCGAGGAGCGATGTCAGGGCTCCCTGCATCTGGGTCACGTTCCCCACCTGGGCTGCATAAGGGGAGTGCAGCAGAGCAGCAGCTCCTGATGCTCACCTCACAGCACAGCCCAGGTGGGGAAAGTGACCTGGATGCATGGAGCGCTTGGTTTTGCTCCTTGCTCCCCCATTGTTCCCCCCCTTATAGCCCCCTAGGGGGCATGGAGGAACGTTGGGGGGTGTGTGAGCAGTATCTGTGAGTCACCACTTGTCCCCCTGCCCCATATTCCTCCACCGGGAGGAAGCAGGGTGAAATCGGGGCGCCCCCCTATGCAGCACTCTCTCGCCAGCTGGGAACAGTTTCTCACTCTATACCAGCAGTGCACCCCTCTGTGCTGCCACACAGCACCCCCCTTAGCCATAGCGCCCCTGAGCATGTGGGCAAGACCCACTAGGCAGACACCTGGGAAAGAATTCTCTGTAGTAACTCAGAGTCCCATCTAGTGTCCCATCACCGGCCACTGGGGATTTTTTCTACTGGCGGTCACCGATGGGCCACATGCCGTCATAGGCAGTCCCATCATACCATTCCCTCCATAAATGTATTAAACTCATCTTGAAGCCAGTTAAGTTTTTTGCCCCCACTGATCCCCTTGGAAGGCTGCTCCAGAGCTTCACTCCTCAGATGGCTAGAAAGCTTCGCCTAATTTCAAGCTTAAACTTGTTGATGACCAGTTTATAGCCATTTGTTCTGGTGTCCACATAGGCGCTTAACTTAAATAACTCCTCTCCCTCCTGGGTATTTATCCCTCTGATATATTTATAGAGAGCAATCATACTTCCCCTCAGCCTTCTTTTGGTTAGGCTAAACAAGCCAAGCTCTTTGAGTCTCCTCTCATAAGGTAGGTTTTCCATTCCTCAGATCATCCTAGTAGCCCTTCTCTGCATCTGTTCCAGTTTGAAGTCATCTTTCTTAAACATGGGAGAGCAGAATTGCACACAGTATTCCAGCTGAGGTCTCACCAGTGCCTTGCATAATGGTACTAACACTTCCCTATCTCTACTGGAAATAATTGGCTTGATGCATCCTAGGATTGCAATAACCTTTTTTCACGGCTGCATCACACTGATGGCTCATAAACATTCTGTGATCAACCAATACAGCGAGGTCTTTCTCCTCCTCTGTCACTCCAACAGATAAATCCCCAGTTTATAGCAAAAATTCTTGTTGTTAGTCCCTAAATGCATGACCTTGTACTTTCCACTATTAAATTTCACCCAATTTCTATTACTCCAGTTTACAAGGTCACCCAGATCTTCTCGTATGATATTCCTGTCTTCCTCCGTATTGGCAATACCTCCCAACTTTGGGTCATCTGCAAATTTTATTAGCGCACTCCTACTTTTTTGTGCTTTTGTACTTTTTGTGCCAAGGTCAGTAATAAAAATGTTTAATAAGATTGACCCCAAGATAGATCCCTGAGGAACTCCACTAGTAACCTCCCTCCAGCCTGACAGTTCACCTTTCAGTATGACCTGTTGTAGTCTCCCCTTTAACCAGTTCCTTATCCACCTTTCAATTTTCTTATTAAACCCCACCTTCTCCAATTTAACAAATAATTTCCCATGTGGAACTGTATAAAATACCTTACTGAAGTCCAGGTAAATTAGATCTACTGCATTTCTTTTGTCTAAAAAATCAGTTATCTTCTTAAAGAAGGAGATCAGGTTGGTCTTGCATGATATACCTTTTGTAAAACCATGTTGTATTTTATCCCAATTACCATTCACCTCTATGTCCTTAACTACTTTCTCTTTCAAAATTTGTTCCAAGACCTTGCATACAATTGAGGTCAAACTAACAGGCCTGTAGTTTCCCAGATCACGTTTTTTCCCTTTTTTTAAAAATAGGAACTATATTAGCAATTCTCCAATCATAGGGTACAACCCCTGAGTTTACAGCTTCATTAAAAATCCTTGCTATTTGAATGTGCAATTTCATGTGCTATTTCCTTTAATATTCTTGGATGGAGATTATGTGGGCCCCCTGATTTAGTCCTATTAAGATGTTTGAGTTTGACTTCCAACTCAACTGTGGTACCACATCTGACTTCCACTTCAGATGTGGTAATTTCTGTCTCCATATCCTTGTTTCCATTAGCCACCCTGCCACTACCCCTAAGCTCTTCATTAGCCTAGTTTAAAACTGAGGCAAAGTATTTGTTTAGGTGTTGGGCCATGCCTAGATAATCTTTAATCTCCACCCCATCCTCAGTGTTTTGCGGTCCCACTTCTTCTTTCCTTGTTTTCTCCTTATTTCTATGGCTAGAGAACCTTTTACTGTTGATTGTAATTCCCTTTGCAAGGTCCAACTCGGCTTGGCTTTTGGCAGTTCTCACTTTATGCCTTGTAGGCGTTCTGCTTTCTATTAATCACCTGTTCGAGATGTTGCTCCTCCAGTTTGGGATTTCCCCCCCTTGCTTGGGATGCAGGCTTCAGAGAGCTTCTGCATCTTTGACTTAAAGTAACTCCAAGCCTCCTCCACATTCAGATCCTTGAGTTCTTCAGTCCAGTCCACTTCCCCAACTAATTCCTTTAATTTTTTTAAAGTTAAAGTTAACGCTGTTGAAATCAAGGACCCTGGTTGAAGATCGAGTTTTGTTTATCCTTCCATTTAGTTTAACTGAAATAGCTCATGATCGCTCGAACCAAGGTTGTTCTCTACAACCAGTTCTTTTATGGGGTCCTCACTACTCACTAATACCAAATCTAAAATGGCCTTACCTCTTGTTGCTTCTGCAACTATTTGGTGAAGAAATCTGTCAGCTATCCCACCCAGAAAAATCTGGGCACTACTATTATTAGTAGCATTTGTACTCCAATCCATATCTGGGAAGTTAAAGTCTCTCATAATTACACAATTCCCAGTAGTATTTATTTCTTTAAAAACATTAGGGTGGTCTCTATCCCTATTCAAATTGGATCCTGGTGGTCTGTAGCACACCCCAAGCACTATCCCAGGGGAGCCTCTAGTAGCTTTCTTCCCCAAAGTGATTTTGGCCCAAACAGACTCTGTCTTATACATTCTGTCACTTCTAATTTCTTTAGTCTTCCTCATCATTAATATACAAAGTTACTCCACCACCTTTGCCTTTATTTCTGTCTGTCCTGAACAGCACATACCCTTCAATACTATACTCCAGTCATGACTACTCTTCCACCATGTTTCTGTTATCCTTGTAATATCTTGTCGGCAGGTGTGAAGTTGCATTAAAAGACAGCTAAAATGACATTACCTTCCTCCTATGACTTTGCCATATAAGTTCTGAGTTTGCTTGCCACAGAGCTGTTGTGTGATTGTGAATGGGAGGGGAGATGGACCTCTGAGATTATCCATTAAAATGTGGTCCACATTATGAAACCATTTAAGGCCACCATGGATAGATAGATTTTCAAGCCAGAAAAATCTGATATTCTGCATAACACAGGCCATAAAACTTCACCCAGTGATTTCTGTATCAAGCCCATAACTTCTGGTTGAGTTAGAGTATCATTTTTAGACAGAGACATCCAGTCTTGATATAAGAACTTCAAGTTGAAGAAGTCCACTTAGCTCTGAAGGTGCTGAGGTTTTGGATGGTCCTTAGCTCCTAGGGGAGTTCATTCCACAGTCTGGGACTGGACCCTGAGAAAGTTCTATCTCCTGTCCCGATGAATTTTACCCTGGAGATGGGCTGTGCCACAATCCTTTTCCTGAGGGTCGGGTGACCTTTTAGGTACTCTTGGCTCCTACCATTGAGCACCTTGAAGACGGGGACTGAAACCTTGAATGTGACTCTCTGTTCTGTGGGGAAGTAGTGTAATGAATGGCACACTGGTTTCAAGAGCTCGGTTTCACTAGAACTTCCTGCATAGTAAGGTACTGCTGGCCATATGTCAGAGTAGCAGAATCTGACTTTAAGTGATCAGAAACATGTAGGTGATTTAATAGAACATGACGTATTTACTAAACCACTCAGTCTCATTCCCACAGTCAGCTATGAGCGGACCCTTTGAATGTCAGGCTTTTAATCTTAAATTATCCATAAAATGATACAGTCCACCTAAATACTGCAGAAGTGCTTCACGCCCAGTGTTAAATGAAAATTCATACTAGATAGGCAATCCAATTTTTCTCCAGAGGGAACATTTCATTACTTGTCATATTCCTGGATATTATAAATTTTAAGCCATGATTATGTCTCTCTCCATTATGCCTGGCACACTTGGTGCCAACTTTTCAAAGGAGCTCTGCTCCCATTTAGGGACCTAAATACGGCCTGGATCTTGGAACACTCAGAACTCAGCAGCTTTCTTGGTGACCCTCAGGGCTAGGTTTACAAAACCATGGTGAGCTCTTGAAAATGTGGCCCCATTGCTTTGGGTTCCTAATTAGGAGCTGAGTTTTCTTTCTAATAAATAAATAAACAAACAAATAAATAAATAATCTGTCCCAAACTGTTGATGCTGAATACTTGAAAATATCTGGCCTTTGAGCATGTGCTGTGCTCTGTGAAGCAGAGGGGCATATATAATCCTTTCTCCACACATTTTACAGTCCAAGTATATGCTGCTGCTTCTATTGAAGAAATGGCAAAACTTTTAGTGACCTGACTGCAGTAGAATCTGACCCTACTTCAGACACAAGCAATACAGTGAAGTCATGGAATATGGTTGATTAGGGCTAGGTCATGACGCAGCATAGGTGTCTCTTTATTTATTACTTACTTTGAACCAGGAGGCATCACTCGAATCTCCCTTTCCTTTCCTGAAACTCCCCTCACCAAAAAAAACAAAAACCTGCAACTTTCTTCAGGATTTCCTTAACGGAACTCAGATCCCACTTGTTTATAGGCATGTTCCACTATCATGAATCTGGGCTTTTCATTTGCCTTTCAGAACACACGCACACTTAGAAATCAGCGTTGGTGCCTGTTGCCACAGCATCTGGGAGCCTTACAACGCTAAGCGATCAATTAACAATCAACATGGGCTAACAGAATCTTAGCACCAGCTCCTGCTTCTTTGAATGGATATTTGCAGCCGGTTGGGGACTAGACCACATTATAATGGGTTATTCCAGGGATTAAATAAGATAGTAATGGATATTGGGTAGGATTATTCAGTTTCTATTCTTGGAAATATATTAGGACAAAATCTATGCTGTGCACTATGGCCACTCAGAACTTCCAACAGCAGCAGGGTTAGAATCCAGATACTCTTGCTCCTGAAGCAAAATTCTGCCACTTGAGCTAACAGAGAATCTTTCTTAGCAGTACGGAAGTACACAATTAAGCAGTTCTCAATCCATCCAGTAGAGAGCAATGTCCCACACATACTCTCCCTTGTTCATACAGTCCTAAAACTCAAGAGCACGCAATCACTTTTTCTTACTCTCACAGTGGAGTTATTATTATGCTCTTCTTCAGAGTCAAGGGATTAGGGAGTTGACAAAGAGGTGATTTTAATGAGGTTCTGTATAGTCACAAGGTCCCCAACAGAGCATCCCTGTGTCAATGTGTGTGATTTAACAGCGGCAGAAGAGACACTAGAGACCACATTTTCCAGATTTTATTTCAAAAATCTGGCCCTTATCTAGGTGCCTAAATGGGAGTTGAGCTCTCTTGAAACTCTACCAACTGATGAGCTCTGACCACTTGAAAAATCGGGCTCTGAGCTCTGAAAATCTAGCCTTGTGTGAGCTGTGGTTTCTATTTAATTAACCTCACTGGGGCTCGAGCAGTAACAGAGAACGGTTACCAGAGCTGGGAGAATGTGCAAAAAAAAAAAAAAAGTATTTGAGCACTTATTTGAATGAAAACTACAGATTCACCTTGACAGTGTTCACATCCCGTCTAATTCATGTCTCACAACATTTGTACAAGTAACATTTTAATCTGCAAGAATGCTCCTAGACAGTGAAGATCTCTTGGATACTTGAGGAAACACCTTTTCACAAGGTTTTGTGTCAGAACCATCTACTTGTCTCAGGTTCTGAACACCTTTCCCTCCGGTTTATGCATGTTCATCATCAAGTTAGGGAGCAGTTGGGCCCAGATCTTCAAAGGTATTTAGGCACCCAAGGCCCATGCAGTTCAATGGGAATTAGGTAGCTAAATACCTTTGAGCATCTGGGCCCATGTCAGATCAGTCATAACATGAATGAGGAATAGATTTTATGACCATTTTGTTTAACAGTTTAAAATGATGAGCAAGTCTGTAATAAATTAAATCAAAATCTGTTCCTGGATAATTCTCGAACAGGGTAAAAGGGATGATCTATGGGCTGTAAGTAGCTAACCAAGCTCTAATGGTGGCTTTTGAATGTTCTGTTCATAGTCTCTGAGAGGAAGATATTTATGTTGACAGGGGTCTTTAATTTAGTGCACAATGCAAAAGAAGCAGAGAGGAAGAAGCAAGCATTGGCCCAAAAGAATTTGCAAAACCCCGAGGCAATCCTGATTCTCTGACTGCATGACTGATCTGTGTCCCCATTTCAGGGTGTTAGCCCCATTTCCCTTTGTGGTGGTGATGGTTCCCTGCATTGTTCCTTTTTGGTTTGGAACTAATGTGAGTGGCACAGTTAATTTCTACCAGAAATGGGAGGAACGGGAGAACAGGGAAATTCACATAATCATGTGTACGGATGTCTTGGGGATTGGTCCTGCTTTGAGCAGGGGGTTGGACTAGATGACCTCCTGAGGTCCCTTCCAACCCTGATATTCTATGATACCACATGGAACAGACTGCTGATATACTACTCACCCACTGCACCTGGAAATGATCGATTGATTTTTAGAGAGCTCCTTTTCCTCCTGCTGTAGCATCTTTTGAGATCTCACAAAAGAGTGTGTAGAGAGTGTATAGATATGTGATCCCACATATACAATGTCCTGTGTGTGCTTATATATAAATTCCATCTAAGGCACCTATTGCTTTGGTATCTCTCTGCTCCCACTCAAGTAAAGTGTCAGCTCCTAAACATTTTGGCTCTGAGCTTTGAAACCTAATAGAACCCAAACCCAAAATAGCAGGGTTGGAAGTTGATTTGTTTGACTACCTCCTCACCCCCAACTCCCACTTATTCGGATTCCACATTAATTAAAATAACTGTCACTGTGTTTACAAATATATATATAATGTTTCCAGAGTTGTTGTTTCCAAGGCTGACAGCAGGGAGTCTTAATAGGCTGGAAGAAAAGGAGTACTTGTGGCACCTTAGAGACTAACCAGGCTGGGTAACCAGTGGGTACAACTGTCAATTTCACCCATGCCCCATGAGTTTCCCTCTTCACCCCGGTGGCCAGTTCCAGAGGCCAGAGAGTGGCAACAGTGAAATAATCTCATTAGCGTTGCCAGGTTTCCTCTTCCTCCACAGATTACACGTCTCTGGCAGGGGAAATGTTCAGAGAGACAAGGTGGCTCCGCCAACGCTGCAAACAGGGAAATCCACAGTCACGGAGCCTTTCCCTCCTTGCTCCCAGTAGGGGCATGTTGCTACCCTGAACCAAGAGGAGTCGTTGTGTCACACGACTGCGGCGGGCAGCCCTGGTAATGGGACTGGCTAGGGGAGGTAGGGAGTTGTGTCGTGTGATTTTAACCACTAGAGGTACAGTCCTGCATCCCCATTGGCAGGAGCCAGACCTTAATGTCTCTCTTTTTCTGTTGACAGGTTTCAGAGTAGCAGCCTGTATTCGCGAAAAGAACAGGAGGACTTGTGGCACCTTAGAGACTAACCAATTTATTTGAGCATGAGCTTTTGTGGGCTACAGCTCACTTCATCGGATGCATTCAGTGAGCTGCAGCTCACGAAAGCTTATGCTCAGATAAATTTGTTAGTCTCTAAGGTGCCACAAGTCCTCCTTTTCTTTTTCTATTGCAAAAGTTAATGGTTCTCTCCCTCTGCCCCCGCTCCCCGGCCGGAGTAGTTCTCCTGGAAATTGCAAAGCAAGGGGGGCGGGGAGGGGGGAAAGCAACCCCCCCCCCATCCGCAGCTCCAGAGCCTGAGGGTTTGTCTACACTGCCATTAGAAACCGGTGGCATCCAGATTAGTTGCTTGGCTTCCCTGTCTCTTTCCTGTGTTGGTGTCCGAGGGAGACCCCCAAATCCCCCTCCCAGCTCCAAGCCCTTTTCAGTTAGTCAAAATCCAGCAACCACAGAGCCTTCCCCAGATCCTTCTTCCTCCCCAGATTCCCCCTCCCCCACAATTCCCCTCCCTTCCTCTCGGCCCCGTCCACTCTCCTGTTTGACTCCAGATGTCAGGCGATCAAAAGAAAACTTATGCTTCCCCTCCTTGCGGCGGGACAGCGGCTGCCGGTGGCTGCCTGCCCCGTGTACGGGGGCAGACAGCAGCGACATGCGGAATAAGCGATCCCGGGATCAAAAGAGAGAGAGGGATGGGCAAAGGAAGGCTCGGATCTGCAGCGGGATGCAGTGATTATCACAAAACGGATTGACACCGTCCTAGTAAATACAGAGAAAAGCGGGAGGGGGAGATCAGGGAGGAAATCGGAGCGGAAAGTGTCCACCTGTCTTTGGAGTCCATCGTGTTCTTAACTGCCCCGAGCGGACCTGGAGACGTGTGAATGTGACCGTAGTGACCCGCAAATGCGTGTGGACAGCCGAGACGTCCCTCCCTCGGCTTCCCTTCCCACCACACTCTCGCAGAAGCCCAGCCGATCGGGCCGGACCCCCTGTAGCACCCCGCCCTGCCACCTGAGTTGACTTGGGGATGGGGGGGAAACGAAAACCAACCCCCCCCCCCCCCAGCAGGCCCCAAGGGCGCACGCGGTGCCCAGTTTGCGAGGCTGCTGCCGTGAGCCATCGCTTTGAATTCCCGGAGAGAGACACAGAAAGTGGGCGTCCTGGCTAGGGCCGAGGTTTTGTCTTCCCCCGGCCTGCCCGGCACAAGCCGAGGGCAATGCGACTCTGGGCTTTCTGCGGCTCTCTCGCTTTCTGATCAAAATATTTCCCTCCCCTGCTCCCTGCCGCCCCAGTATGTCAGGAGTAAGGCTGGCTTATCTTCCCAAAGCTGTTTTTGATTTACACACACAGGGTCCGTACCTTTCTCAAGAAATACCGGCTCTCTCTCTCACTCACGCCTCAGAAGCGATACTGGCTGATCTTCGTGTCCACACAGAGGTGTTCTGGCACGCACACATCAGGTTATCCTGGACACACGCAGATAAAGGTATTTTGTTTCACCCTCTGTTGTATGTCAGGAGAAATACTTGGGTTGATCTTCCTATGGCTTTTTCTTACACGCACAGACACAGAGGTTTGGGGAAATACTAAACTGGGGTGATCCCCCGACAGATGTGTTGCGTTATGCCCCCAGGTATTCTGCTGTATATTTCTCCATAGGTAGACTGACAGACCGTGTGTGTGTGTGACCTGATGTGTGTCTGTCTGTCTCTCTCTCACACACACAGTCTGTGGGTCTATCCATGGAAAAATACCGGGCGATCTTTCTGTAACTATTTTGTGTGTGTGGAGATAGACACACACACTCACGTCAGGAGCAATCCGGATGGATCGTTCTGAAGCTCTTTTGTGTTGTGCTGATACACAGATTCGCTCGCTCTCGGTCTGTCCCTGTGTCCCGATGTCTGTCTGCCTGTCCGTGGAGCTATATTGGGTGACCCTTCTATAACAATGTTGGTTGTCTGTGTGTGTACGTACAGAATAGCTAGGGAAGGATCTCCCAGCATTTCCCCTGACCTGTGAGTGTTTGTGTGTTTTACGCACACAGACACACACACACACACACGGAGAACTGCTAGGCAGTCCTTCTCTAGTTATTTTATTCTAGGCGTCCCCCCCCCCCCAATATTCTGCGCCCCCCCATTCCCGTGGAAACGCAGCAGCGTGGTTGGTGAATGGCTAGTATATTTCAGCCGCGGCACTTGGCGAGGGCGCCTCGGCTCCTCCCCCGTGTGGTGTAACCCTCTCACTTGATCAAATCCTTGAACGTGAACAGTTTCACTGAAAAGCACTTTTCAAAAAAAAAAAAAAAAATCCCACCAACAGTAAAGAACAAGATCCAACTACCGGGGAGAGAGTTGGGGTTTTTTTTCCCCTCCCTCCTGGTCACCGTTTCCGAGGCTGAGAAGGGGAAAGAGAGGAGCCTTTACAAATCCTACTACGGCTAACCCAGTCCCCCTCCCCTTAAGAAACCCCCCCCGCCCCAAACTCCCCAACTCCGTCGGCGAGGCATGGAGAGGGGCACTGGCTGGTACCCAGCCTGCTCCATCGCGCTGCTCGCCTGGACATGGCTTTTGCTCTTCGCTTGCTGTCTCACCGGCGCCGAAATAACTTGCAGGTCCTGCTCCTCCTCATCCTCTGCTCCTTCTTCGCCCTCCTCGCGGGTGGAACAGCAGCCGGAGCTGCCGCCGCGGGGATTATTGCGCTGGCCGGGGGGCAGGGACGGGGGACTCGCCAGGGAAGCAGCCCTGCCGGAGGGGCAGCCCGGCGGAGGATGGGGGGCCGCGGACGAAGAGGACGAGGCGCCGGTTGTGGTGCTGGAAGAGGATCGGGGCTGGGGAAGGGGCCAGCCGGCAGCGGGAGCGGCGGAGGGGTCGCGGGGCGCCGGGGAGGCTCGCCGGAGCGGGGCGAAGGGGGATGGCTGGGCTGGGGAGGCGCCCGGGAATCCCCCGGCTCCGCAGCGCTTGGGGATGGCGAAGGGGAGCGGAGCCTATGGCCGGGAGGAGACGCTCCTGCTGCCGCCCGGAGATGCCCAGGAGGCAGGCGGCTCGGTGGGCAAAGTGACGAGCTCCCACCCCCTGCTGCCCAGGGCGAGGAGGAGCAGCGGGGCCCCCCAACTTTTCGCCCCTGGCCGTGGCCAGGCAGGAGGGGGCAGCCCTTGGGCGGACGGACAGAAAGTGACTCGGGCTCAAGCCAGGGGCTCCAAGGAGGAAGGGAAAGTGACCAAGATGCGCGCAGGCGAGGAGCTGAAATTGACCAGCACCACCTTCGCCCTGACCGGGGACTCGGCGCACAACCAAGCCATGGTGCACTGGTCGGGCCACAACAGCAGCGTGAGTACGCGGGGCGATGCGGGGCCGGGCAGGGGAATGTGTCTGTCTGCACAGAGCTCGGCTGCTCCGGCTCTGCTCTGGGTTCAGGCGCGTCCCGGGGAGTTTGTCTGAAAAAGCTGCGGCCTCCCTCGCACAAGGGAGTGGGGAGAAAAGAGAGACACCCAGTGTTCATCCTGACTAGACAGCACGAAAAGCACCGGGTCTGAGCTCCGGGAAGTTAGACCGGAGGATCTGTTTTGAACCCAATTTCCCTCCCCTCTCCACAGGGAGGAGAGAGAGACTCCTCCTTTGCGTGGCTTCCCCGGCATCTGTCCATTGATTCTCCTTCTGCTGTTTCTCTTTATATATATAATATGTACCTTGAAATGCCTCAGTGGGTCTGTGCGGGAAAATGAATGATGTGCAGTAAAAAAAAAACAACCCCCAAAACAAAACCTCTGAGGTTGTGTGCTCTGCCTGTTAGAGGCAAGGCAGCTCATATTCATTCATTTAAGCAGTAGAAACACACGCTGCTTAATGGGTTCGAAAGAGGAGCAAAGAAGGTGAAGCAGAATTAAAAAAAAAAATCAATTGCATATCATTCCTTCCCCCAAGTCAATAAACGACCAATTTAAAAATTAGTTCAGGCACCAGTGAAAGTTTGTGCTGGAGACTTGCTGGGCCCGGTTTGTGTCAAAAGGCGGCGCTCTTGAAGAGCATCTGTGCCCAGCGTCTGCCTGCTGGATAGAGCGGTGAAAGGAACATTGTTATGTTAGCAACTGCTACCCTATCTAGCTCCATGCTTTATTATACTCCCAGGACAGCCATAAGGGAATTTCAATTTTATTTTAACCTGATATAAGACATACTATTTCCACTGCGCCATAAAGCCTGAAAGCGGGCATAATTTCAAGGGTTCAGGAAACCCTGATATAGGGTGACAATGTGCCCATTATTCTGATTATTACAGCTCCTCGCTGCCTTGAACATACCTCTTGTACTGTTTTGCCTATATTGGAAATGTGCACGAGGCAATTAGAAGTATAAAGTGGAATGTCCAGATCTGAAAATTGTATTACACCTGGGGTTGAAGGATCATTTGGGGCCTGCCTATCTAGGCAATGTACAATTCAGCCATCTCTCTATGCTTTTCTGAATGGAAGTTTTATCTCATTGTTATTTATTTTTACTTACCTAATCATGCTGACAGCTATCTAGATGTTACCTAGATTTATTCAGTTTTTAAAGGTAGCTGTGTTTGCTAGACATGAATTCCACAATCACTTAAGATGAAAACAAATATTCATTGAAAGCTGCATATGGTATATTTTAGCATTACATTGTCCGTATGTTTTTTTAAAAATGTATGGAGGAATGTAGTGAAAAAAAAGAGTCTATAAGCCCTGTTTCTTGTTTTCATTTCAGTGCTGAATTGAAGGAGACTCAGGAAAGGAGCTAGCATATGGATTCCTAATAGTTATTTGTAATTCTTATTAAACTAGCAAAGGGGACTCATTCTCCAGACACTCTGGAAATAAAGGTTTTTTCAAGGTGCATTTCAGAAAGGGATTTTAAAAATCTCCTTTGCTTATATCTCTCTTTTGTAGAAATGTGTCATTTAAAAAAGCAGCTTTATTTATGTTTTAAATTCAGGTCACTGATAAGGCTAATAAATTAAAGACTGTCAGATTGTTCAGGGCTTTTCACTATGGTTTTGCCTCTGTCATGACACTGTGTATGGAAACCTTTTGGCTACTTTTGTGGCTGTATTTATTGAAGAGAATAACTGAGTGGTATATGTGGGAGTGACAAGCAAGCATGCTAATAAATAATAGTGTTCTCATGCCATGATTTGTCAAATCTGAGGTTTGGTACTTAGAGACTCGGTTTTCTTCACTGTCCCTTTTGGAGAATACATACTGTAGTTTGTCATTCATTATTATTTGTTTTTAAGGCAGTGTATTGTGCGAGTCTACAGGGAAAGTTACATGCTTGAACTTGACAGTGTATGGAGGTACTTTCATGTATTATCTGGGAGAGGCAGATGCCGTGCCTGATATTGTACTGCAGTCCTGCCTTTACCCAATTTTCCAGTTGGGTTGAATCTGGTACGAGGAGGTCAAGCAATTTGCCCAAGGTCACACAATGAAACAGTGGTTTGGCTGAGATTAGGGCTAAGGGTTATGATATCTCTGATCACCAAGACTACAATGATGCCCAATCTAAAACCTTGAATCACATATTTTCTTAACTGGCAGTAGAGGTAGAACCGCAGGAAAGGAAATTAGAAATACATGGAGGATATTAACTCATGTCCCATCATTATGCTGGAAGTCTTGGGGCAGTGAGGAGGGCATATGTATATGATTCAGAAAGGGTGGCCTTGAGATAGAAGTAAAGGGCTGGGAGTCAGGAGATCTGGGTTTTGTTCTTGCCCCTGCCTCGTGTGACCTTAGGCAAGACTATTAACATTTCTCTGACTCACCTTCCCTGTAGAATCCGGGTCAGGCTACTTACCTCCCACAAAAGAGGTGTTGTGGAGTAGAATTAATTTCTGTTTATAAAACACAGAGATCCTTTGATGGCAATTGCGGTGGAAATGCAAAACATTATTGATGCAAAGGGGGGTTTGCAGACTCTCTACACACATCCATTAAGAGTGGCTTGGCGTGACATAAGTGACTGAACTTAAAAAAAGGGAGGATTTTATATTGGACATAAGGCAGACACTTCTATCGGTAAATTGGGTTACCCTAGAGAACAATTTATTGAGAGAAGTTACTGAGGCTGCCTCACTGTAGGGATGAGTAATGCAGCTGTAGACCGGAAGAAAAAGCTCATTGGAAAGGCTTTTGGAAACTCAGGAGAAATTTTGCTAAAATCTGTTGGGATCATTTTTGGAAAATCCACAGGCTTTTTATTTTAAAGGAAATCCACTGGGAACATACACAGGACACGGATATGTTGTTAGTTGAGTATTTGTATGCTTTAAACTCATTATGTCGCTCCATCTTTTCTCTCTCTCTCTTTTTTTTAACTACTCCCCATCTGTCTGAGAGTTTTCATTGCTCCAGAGTTTCCACTCCCTACAAACTTCCTCCTACCTGTGGAAATCACTTTATCTGCTGGATTTTTCTAACTCTCCTCGCCCCACCCAGAGTTCTATTCTGGGGAGCTCAACTGTTCCACAGAAAGTTGAGAACAGTTAGAGAACAGTTAAAGTTAAGAACAGTAAGGTAGAACTTGCCACCTTAGTTCTATAGAGGAGCCTGTGAGATTATTCCAACCGGCCATGCTGAATAAAATAAAACCTCAGTGGATGTCTCTCCTGAAATTATCACAATTGAAATAGTTGCTGGGACTTCC